ATAAATAGCGTGTATCAAGTTGGTGATTGAAATGTAGGTGTACTGCCTCCCAAGAACTGGCATTCATTCAGAGTATACTTTTAAATCCAGCATGCGGAATACTGGTAGGCCCTCCTTATGCAGGAAATGCTCTCCAATTCGTGGAATCCCTGTGTCGATACCTGCTCAGTCCGGAGAATGAAAAGGAGCAGTGGGAGAAGGGGGCTCTAAGTGTGGGCACTCACAAGGCCGGACTGAAAATGCTACTGCCTATGTAGCCAGCCACTGAGCCACAAACTCAGGCACCCAACCTGACAACCAGCTAAGTGGGCCCCACAGGCACCAGGCAGACTCAGGACAGCCACCACCAGGAATAAATAGAAAAAGCACGACTTCTGCTGAGACAGAGCCCCCAGCTTCCAGAAAGCTGTTTACAGTGGAGGGGTGGTAGGAGACCACTGGACGCAGTCACTGAGAGGTTATGATGGGTTAAATCAGTGCTGGATAAACCAGAACTCCATTTGAGAAGACAGACACATGGGCAAGTTGAGGCAAAGTGAGCAGAGAGCTCCTCCTTCACAGAATGCCAAGCTTGGCCCCTTGGAGGGCATGGCCCACCACTCAAAGCGGTGTTGTGAGACCAAGTGACCACAATGCCTGTTTATACCTGTATCAGGACAAATGCCTCTCCCCTAAGCGGACCTGAACTGTCTTCCAGGCCTCTGTGACCTGCGGCCAGGACAACATCCCCTGATGAGAGCTACCTCTGAGAACTTCCGTGAAGACAGAAAGTAAAGTCCACCTTCTTCTGAGGAAGAGGGCGAGTCACAACAAGGACTTACACCTGCTTGACAACCAACACTGTCACCTGTCCACTTCCCAAAGTCATAAAATGCCACACTGCTGGCCTCACACATCCTGGCCACAATAGAAAGAGCAAAGACAGGAAGGCTACTGAATTTGGGCCACCGGTGTGATCAGGAAGAGTCCACATGTTTAGATTTTTATATGTTCTAATATATTAACGAGAATTGGAACTAACAGCCTTCCATTTCAGAACTTACAAGATTCCTCTTTTCTGCAGGACCAATGGTGTTTTATAAAAACACCAGAAGTGCTGTAATCTTGAAGCAGAAAAGAAAGATGGAACACCAGACTCATGACAAGTTCCACATCAGTTGGCAGTTACCACATCACAGTGTGGACTGGCCCAGGATTCTGTTCCCCTGACAGAAACCTTCAGATGTTTCCAGGACAGGTTGTCTAATATCATCAACCTGTTGGATCTATCACAGGTAAATCGAACCCTAGTTGTAATCTCTTATAAACCTGTGTGGGAGAGAAGACACGGCCACATCTTCTCTCACCAGCTCAAGAACACTGCCCTCATGGCCTCTTCTGAAGTCGTCTCTCCACATTTGAGATCACTACAATACATTCAGAGTTGGAAGCATTATCGCTTAGTAACTCTGGGTAAGTCCCTAACTTTAGGGCAGTCACCTCACATTAAGTGAGTAGGAAACAAAGGCATTTTGTCCTCTCCAGGCCATGGAAGACACTAAACAGCACCTACTATCGTGATGTCGGCTTCTGCACCCACAGAAAGGGGAGACTGGCTATGCACCCCACGTCCCTTTACAGGCTGCCAAAAGGAAGCAGGAGACTGTTGAAGTGCTGCACAAAGTCAGGTGAAGCATACATCTCTGTGCAGAAGTGTGTTAGTATTTGTTATTCAGAAAATTCACACAATAGATCCTGCATTAAAAGACAAAACTTCTAGAACAACAATTCATGTTAGCCTTTGATGCCCAGGTCCAGAATCTGAACCTGGATCTAGTTTATGGGGCAAATACACCAGTCCCCAGACCCAGATTGTGGATGAGGAACCCACAGCCCAAGGAAGCTCACTGGTATCCTCACCTTCCAATTCCTAGGTGGGAAAACGATCTTTTCCATGTGTCTCTCTGCAGAGGCCCCTTGGTCACCTCCCCTTGGCACCTGAAGTCTGCAGAATACTGAGGAAGAATGTAGTCCTGAGATTTCCTTCTGGAGAACCCAAGAAGGAGTCTAGGGTTCAGTAGTTTAACCAGCACTTAGAAAGTATGCCTATCACTTCTGCTCTAGACAGCAGACAGAGAAACAAACTCCTCCTGAAGGTAGTTGTCTGGTCTAGAAGACAAAGACTGAACTCTGGCAAAATAAGGAGTGTCCAATACAAATGGGAATCTAATCACTTGCTGATGAGGAACCTAATCACTTGCTGATGCTTTGAGTGGACTGACTCTGATTTCTGGGCTGGAAGAAGACTGTCCTCCTCAACTTTATCCATAACAAAACAAGATTAACAAAGGCACACAGTGCACTTCGGAAAGGTTTTCAACACCTTGAGCTGCCATACAACAGTAAGAGTAAGGCTTCCACTGTTAGAAAAAACTTTTAGTTGCTTTCTGAAAAGGAGTGTACAAAATTTATTACTGAGATGGCAAAAATTATTAAATCAAAGCCTGATGCTATAGATATTCAAGCACTCCACAGGCTAGAATTTAGAGCAAAGAACTTTCCTCTTAAGAACCCGCTTTGTCAGGGAGATGATCAGAAAATGTTACTTTGTTACTTCCCTAACTTTTTAGATACTTGTGGATATTAGGTCAGCTGCCTAAGTTGACTTTTCAAGCAAAAGTTAAGTCTGTTATCAAAATTGCATGCCCATGAAGGTAAGCATTAATGACACAATTCTCTGTAGCTTCTCTCAGAAGAGGTTTAATTTTAGTGTTGGCTCTTCAACGCTGTCCCCATTTTTATTTTCCAGGAGCATCTTAAATATGTGTCAACTAACTATGCAGAAGTGGAGTTCCTGCTTGGGTAAGGCAGAGAAGAGCAGCTGTGTGCTGGCAATGCCTTGATGAAGCCATCTAGCTCTCACCTGAGCCCAGTTCAATCAAGAGAAACTGCAGAAATACGGTCACACCATCTCTGCCAGCAACCTATTCCTCCATGGCTCTGAGTTTCTCTGTGGAGTTTGCTCCAAGCCACACTCCTGTCAAATGGCTTGTAACAATACTCAGGAACATCACTGACAACAGCAGCATTTAAAGGAGGCACTTTCTCATCCCTCATATTCAGAGACAATACCCCAATTTCATCCACTACATCAGTAAGACTCTAAGTCATCCCAGATAAGCCACATGAAATGTGCACTCCATAATACATAACACAACCATGGGCTTGGCCCCTCTTCCTCCTGTTCTCCTAGGAACGCTTTAGAGTCTTACAAAACACTAGAACCCCTGAGGTCACCGCCCCACCTAATCTACAACATGGTGACTGCCTGTTAAAGCGCCTCCGGATCCCAAAGCTCTCCTAGGTGGTATTAGGATCAGTGCTAATATCTCAGCAACCATTCGGAATCTCTGGAAGGCAAACAAGCACACGGAACTCAAGAAATTACACTTTGAGGTGAAAGTCACCAAGGCTACATTTTTCATTTAACTTGTTTTATCCTTTAATTTTTCAGTCTTGGGAATTGCTGCAGCACCAGTTGCTGCAAAAATTCTGCAAGGTTTTATATAGCTTGTGCCTACTCCACCCCCAAAGTCATAACAAAAATGTATACAACATTTGTTAAAGACAAATACCACCAAGTCTATCTTCATGGGGCCTGAAGACCAGGAAGGACAGAATTACTTACGATACAGAAATCAGTCTTACAAAGATCACAACTCCTCTCTATCAAATTTGTACAATCCAACCATGAATTATTCCCAGAGTGCTGGCTAAAACCTACTGCTAAAAGTAGTCAATAAAACTCATGTAAAGGAAAAGCAAAAGTCCCCACAGTGACAGAAACCTAAGTTACTGGCCAAGCCGAAGGTGGTTTATTTCTTCCATCCCCAGCACATTAAAAAGTGGTTTCAATGGCCACTTCCTGGTCTCCCAGGAAATGCAGGGGCTCACTTCATACCTGGATACTACAGCATCTTGCCATTGCTGAACCTGCTCTGGCCACAAAGGAAAATGACCCCTATCACGGACAACCACTCAGAGAAAATATGAGAATACGATGAGTCTTTCCCAACACACACGGTGGGGGGCAGGGGAGATCCCTCCACAAACAGCAGCCTCGGTGGAGCAGCACCTGAGAAAGCGACACCCTGGAGTTAACCCTGACTGTCTAGGTCACAAAGCAGCACCCTGACTGTCCAGGTCACAAAGCAGCAGGCTAGGGCCCCACGTAGGGGGCAGACGAAGGAGGGCTCTGGGTGGAATGGGAGAGCACACAATCATCTCTAATTCACTACCGAAAAGCGGGACTCTGCCTTGGTCTGAGACGCAAAGAGTACTTAAGGCCCAGAAAGATAACAGGAAGAATCCCACGCTCCACAAGATCATCTTCCGTCGGCAGCGACCCCAAGAGAGACCCAACGAAGGCAAGTCCACTCTCAGAACCGAAAGGGGCTCTCCACGCGCCTTGTGCACCCGGCTAGGTGTAAAGGAGGCCAGGAGGGCTCCCTCCGAAGCCAGGAAGGTGCTTCCAGCCGGGAGGAAAGGTAAAGAAGACTTCCCTCATCACCTAGAAGGCCGAGACACCGGCGGCACGGGTTCCCCGAGTCCTACCCCGGACACCAGTTGCTCACAGCCTTTCCCCCTCCCCTCCCCCGCGCCGGGAGGGCTTCCCGGGGGTCGCGGGTCCTACGATAAGGGCGAGGCGGGCGAGCTCCGTCAGGAACAGCAAGGGTCGTAGAATTAGAGAGGATGAGGGGGAAAAACTCTAGTCTCAGCTCCCATCTGCTCCCTTCGCCCAGGCCGCACGAAAGCCTCGGCCTCACGTACCGAGCGCTGCCGGGCTGGCCGACCAGCCCCCGGCCCGGGCCCGGGGAAAGAGAGACCGGGATGGCAGCGGCCCTCAGGGGCAGCTGGGTGTCCGGGGGGTCCTTCGGAGCCCGGTGGACGAGGAGCACTAGGGAGGGGGAGGGTCCTGGGCCCACGCGGCCTCCACCTCGACCTGTGTGAGGAGCACTTACGTTGCTCTGGGGGTCGATGGCCTGCAGCAGCCGGTCCCTGATCTGCTGCGGAGACGGCGGAGCCGCTGTCATTGCCTGGGCGAGGCGGGGGGGGAGCGGCCGGGCCAGCGGGCGGGCAGGCTGAGGCGGAGGACCGGGGTCACTCACTCGCCGGCCTCCGGGAGCGGAGCCTCATGTTCCCCGCGGCGCCGGGGAAAGAGGGGGCGCGCGGGGTGACGGAGAGGTGAGCCGGGGCCGGGGCTCAGGCCCGGGGCGCCGCCACCACCAGAGGAGGAGGAGGAGCCGCCGGAGCCGTCGCCGCTGCTGCCGCCGCCTCGAGAACCAAACTCCAGTGAGCTACCCCCGCGCGAAGCACTCTGGGTAACCCGCGCCGCACGCAGCGTCGGCGCCACGCTGAGGAGATTGGGAGATAGGGCGGGCAGAGACGCCGAGTCTGGGCGGGGCCACTTGCAGACCACGCCCCTAGGCTCCACGCATGCGCGCGCAGGCGCAGTCGCCCCACCTCTGTTCCGCCCCGCCGCTTGGCCAAGGGAGCCGTTGGGAGGCGGTTGGGCGGGGCAACGGCCGCCGCCTGGAGGCCCCGCCCCCACCCAAGCCGGGAGGTTGAGGGGGTGGCGGCCGGAGGTTTCCGACGGAAACGCTAGATGTACGCGGAGTCCTTGAACCCTGGCGCTCTGGGCGGACGCCCTCAGGGCAGCTGGGCGGAGAGGGCAGATGAAGGGCCCCACTCCTAGGGCAGAAAAGCTTTCCTCATTCTGACGAAGATGACGGGAGTCGCGGGCGGGAGAAGCTGCCAAGTTTCCTGAGCCCCGGGGTCCTTCCCAGCTCCTCTGCGTTCAGGGAGGCCAGGAGGCAAACGTCCACGTTGTAATTCTCTGCGCTGAAGCGTCAACTGAGAAGCGCTGTGGGACAGCGCCGCCCTCGCCCCTCCAGAGGGGGTGGGTGCGAGTCCGGGGTCTGCAGCGCCTCGGGCTACGATCCCCAAAACATGAGACAGCAAGGTGTCTCACGGAGGAGCCGCTACCGCAGCTAGGAAAGCCCGGAGGCCAGCTGCATGAGTTGACACCAACGTTGCAAACCTGCGTCTACCCCGGCGTTTCTCAACCTGGGCACCAGTAACATTTGGGGCTGGATGTGTTGTAGGGCCTGTCCGTTGCGTTGCAAGACGTTCGGCAGCATCCCTGGTCTCTACCCAGGAGATGCCAGTAACACCCTTTTCCTGCAGGGGACCAAAAAGCTCCCCAGTCACTGCCAGAGGTCCCCTGGATGGTAGAATCGACCCCTGTTGAGAATCACTGTTTTAAAAGACCCTTCCACCCTACTTTGCATGGTGATGCTAGAAAACAAACACACTTACAAAAGAGGAAACTGAGCCCCAAGATCACCCAGATATGGGTCAAACCCAGAACTGTTAAATGTCGACTCTAAGGGCTTCTCCCCGCCCCTCGCCCCCTCACTGCCTTCTTTCATTGCCGGCTCTCTCCGTGGAAGCGCTTGTTAAATATACGATAATGCGAAGGGGTAAAAAAGGCAGGCTCAGTGGATCATAAGCCGCAGCCTCGAGAGAAATAACTTTTTTCCTTGTTACAGGAAGCCCTACATTTAAAACAGGAGCGAGGCAGCTGATGAGAACCACATGCGCGCCTCGTCTCTGTTCTACACCTGTTAGTCTTGCATTTGTCATACTTCTGGGAAGCATTTTTATTTGCAAAAAACGGCTGCTTCCCCACGTGGTTGTGGTTGCCTGCTCCTGCACGTGTGAAAAGTTTTACATCACACTTGTAGGAGAAAATAAATACGGGCAAATTACCTCTCTTTAATTTATTCACTCTCCCTCCTAGAATGAGGTGCTTTGTGTACACATGTCCAGGTTGGAAACCAGCCCATTTGGAGATACTTTTTATCTCACTACAGATAAGCAAAAGAAACAAGCCCTCCTCCGAGTATATTCCGATTCCGCCTCTATTTTTAACTTCAGACTTGTTTTTTAAATCAAGGGTCCCTTAGAAATAAGCTGCTTTACACGCCCCCCCCCAACCCCAAGAATGATTCAGATTGTTTAAGAAAAAATCTGGAAAGCACTCCATTGACCTGCTCTTAGTAAACTAAGAAGAAACATTAAGATAACTGTGAGCTCTGTTAAGGGTACTGATTCTGTGTCCCCAGTAGATAGATAAAAGTGCATGTGGATGTGCTAAGTCACTTCAGTTTCGTCCAACTCTTTGCCACCCTATGGACGGTAGCTCACCAGGCTCCTCTGTCCAAGGGAGTTTCCAGGCAAGAATACTGGAGTGGGTTGCCATGCCAGTCCTCCTCCAAAGGATCTTCCCAACCCAGGGATTGAACTTGTGTCTCTTATATAAGTCCCCTGCATTGGCAGGCGGGTTCTTTTACCACGAGCGCCATCTGGCAAGCCCAGTACATAGAAGTGAAGTGAAAGTCGCTCAGTGGAGTCCAACTCTTTACGACCCCATGGACTGTACAATCTATGGAATTCTCCAGGTCAGAATACTGGAGTGGGTAGCCTTTCCCTTCCCAACCCAGGGATCGAACCCAGGTCTCCCACATTGCAGGCAGATTCTTTACCAGCTGAGCCACAAAGGAAGCCCAAGAATACTGGAGTGGGTGGTCTATCCTTTTCTCCAGCAGATCTTCCCAACCCAAGAATCAAACCGGGGTCTCCTGCATTGCAGGCAGATTCTTTACCAATTGAGCTATCAGAAAAGCCCAGTAGATAAAAGAGTGCTTATTAAATACATGTGAAGTAAGTGAATGAATGTCTCATCTAGATACATGGTCATTCTATACACACACCCAGACATATTTATACAGATCTGTCACACAGTGGAGGATCAAATATTTAATAAATGAAGTATTGCATTAAATATAAATACACATGAGGATGAGCATGGGCACACACAGATGTATGGAGAATATGTAGTTACCCATTTTAAACATTTATTTGGCTGCGACTGGTCTTAGTTGTGGCACTCAGGATCTTTTGTTACTGTGAGCGGGCTTCTCTTGTGGCGTGGGGGTGAGGGCTTAGGTGCTCTGCGGCATGTGGGATCTTAGTTCCCCGACCAGGAATCAAACCTGCATGCCCTGCATTGCAAGGCAGATTCTTAACCAATGGACCACCAGGGAAGTCCCCTGTGGAGCTAGTTTTGAAGCCAAGTCCTAAAAACGGGTTAGGGGCTCATTAATACAATACCATAATTGCACTGTCCAGGCAAAGTGTAGAAGCACAGGGAGGGGAATTCTGAAGTACCATGATTGACATGGATGCAGCATGTCAACTGAGAGCGTTTCCATACATTCACAACCTCTGACTCAGGATTTTGCAACTTTTAGAAATGTATCCAGAGGAAGCAGTCAGATACAGATAAATGTGTCAGTACAAGGAAGATCTCTGCAGCATCGTTTATAAGGGCAAAAGATTGGAAGCCACCTATGTGTCGAGTAATAAGGTCGTATATAGATAAACTGGGAGTCATTTCATGAAAACGGGATGGTTATGGACTGGAAGAGATCAGAGGATCCTGTAATTCCATTTGGGTGGTGGTCTTGTCTTATGGATGTGTGCTACATGTAGAAATTCACCAAGTTGTGTGTCATTATGAACTTTCCAAATTACTAAGTAAAAGGACACAGAGCTAGCTAGATCATGAAGCCATTATAAACCAATACTGAATAATATGGGGAAATGCTTCTAATTTAATGTTAAATGATAAAATGCAACATATAAACTATATATCTTACAATCTAGTTTTATTAAGATATGCAATATATGCTTACACACATAATTCATAGAAAAAATACTGGAAGGAAAGAAACCAAAGCACTTATCTCTCACAAGTGCTTTTTATGCTGACAATTTTGCCTGAAGTTCCACATTTTCTGGAACGAATATGGGATGCCTCCTGATGACCTTGTCCATGCTGGTGGTCATTGTGACCTCTAGTAGCCTCTAGTTCTCACTTGCTGACTCAAATACTGCTAGTCTCTAATCATAATCTCCAAAATCCTGAGGACAGATCTACTGTCAGGCTGACTGATGGTTGTCAACCTAAGTCCTAACAGTTTATTTTTTCCCTATGGCCCCAGTTTTGTATTATTCTTAGTCATCAAGAGAATGACAACAGGGAGTAATTAATATTTATTGAGTACCTCCTATGTGTCAGGTTGCACACTGAGGGCTTGACATGAGGACCCTGAAGAAGCCCTTTGGACAGTCAGACCGTTGTTAGGCTCTTCTCTCCTTGACTCTGTGTGGAGGTCTGCAACTCACTTTGGTCTAGGGGACGCAGTGGAAGCCACACTGTCTGATCCAGAGTAAAGCTTTAAGAAGGCCTGAGTTACTACACAACTCAGCGATTCTACTCCTTCGACCACCACAGGAAAAATGAAAACATAACACTGGCACGGACTTGTACAGGTAAATGTCTATAATAGTTCTATCCTTAATAGGTACGACATGCAAACACCAAATGCCCATCCACTGATGACTGGATAAATGAAGTAGATGGCTATATGCTGGCATATTATTCAATCATAAAAAGGAGTGGAAGGAGGGCAGTCTAGGGGTAGGGGAATGGGCAGTACAAACTACCAGGTATAAGACAGGCTACAAGGAGGTATTGCACAACACAGGGAATATAGCTAATAATTTTGTAAAAGGAAAGGAATCTTTAAAAATTGTATAATTTTTTTTTATCTTGTTAAAATAGTGTGTAATCTATTGAAATGCTCAAATAACCTAATCTTTTTATTGTGATGATCTAATCATCTGTTAGATTGAATTAGAGGCTATTCTTCTGTTTACTATAGTTTCCTGTTCTCTCAATTACTCTCAGGAGCAAAGAAACAAAATCAGTCACTCCACTAATTCTCCAGTGAATTGTTTTATTTGTGTCTACAAAAGTAAAATAAGAAGTTCAGGAAGGAACTGCAGGATAAAGGATTTGCAGCTTCTATCCATGACTGGCCTTTACCCCAGGCAGCGGTAACACAGGGTTTGAGTCTTACTGCTCCGCCTGCTCTAAAAATGCAGTGGTCTCGCAGTTCATCTC